AGTTCTAAATGGAATGGTTAATCAGAAACAAACTGATTGTGGGAGGCTGCTCTTAAAACATCTCCCAGTAATTCACAACTTCTGTTATTCTCATCCTTGATTAATAGCCTCTCTTTATGGGTGGGTTAGACCTAGTAACTTCCTCCAAACAAATAGAATATATCAAAAGTGATAAGATGTAACTACTGAGATTAGGTCACAGAAGACTCTGACTTCTCTCATGCCTATACCCTTGCTCTCTTGCTGACAGTCAATTTTATAGTCTGTATGCTTGGCCACTCTGATTAAACAAGCCACCATGATAGAGACACCAATGTGATAAGAAATTGAAGATGGACTTCAGCCAACAATCAGTGAGGAACTAAGGACCTTGGTCCAATGATCCATAAGGGTCAAAATTTCTTGTCAAAACCATGTGAATAAGCTTGAAAATGGATCTATCCCCAGTCAGAGATTGAAATGGCAGCAACTCTAGCCAATACCTGGATTTCATCCCATAAGAATCACTAAAACAGAGGACCCAGATAAACCATACCAAATTTCTTACACACTAAAACTATAAGAACATACATATGTGATATTTTTAAACTGTTAAACCTGGGAAAATTTGCTATGCAGCAATGGATAACTAACTGGTGTACTAACTAATGGATAACTACCGATGTACAAATTTTAGAATAAAAACTTAGAGAATTTAACATTTTAGTATCTCTGTTAATTGGTTAAATTATGTTCAGTAGTCCCCTCCTCCATGTTTGAATTATTCTGCACTTGAGGCTGTTTGATTGTAATGTAATTATTTAAGCATTGGTTGAATCTAATAGTCTTGGTTTACGCTCATCTCGTCCCCCAGATTGTTGTGGGCGTTGTTCTGCTGTCTGGCACTTTGAAAGCTGCTAAGAAGAAATCTGAGGCCATACTTATTTTTGTCTCTACCAACCATAAAGTCATATAAAATCTTTTCTTTATCTGCATTATTAAAAACTTCTTACTTGAACTCTACAGGAAAAATCTTGCCATTGAAAAATCTATATCAATGTATTTGTTCATTTCTGCATTACGTTATTTATCCATGTATGTGTTTATGTATATATACAAATGTTGAATGTTATTTTGAGCTGCATTTGCAGATCTCTTGTCATCCCAAGAAATTTCATATATGAGACCTTAGGATATATTTCTTTTTGTAGAGTTCTTCCCACACTTACTTTTTTCCTTAAACTTATTGAGATTATTTTAAGCCTTTCAATCTCATTTATTTAATTTCCTATAATGATAGCGTTTTAGCTGTCAATTTGTTTTCTAACACCACCAATATCTCTTTCATGCCAATCAGTTGTTTATTATCTAATCTTTAACTCTTATTTAATTGAATTTGTTTAATTTAAAATATTTTCAGGTTTAAAGCATTTCCAAGAACTCTATTATCTTCCCTTTTTCCTCTAAACTACATTCCACACATTCTTTTTATATGTCAGGCAACTTTAAAATTCTGTATTTGTTGTGCTTTATTTAAAAAATCTTTATTATGCTTAGCATCGTCAAATTTCACCAAACTATTATTGGTGAACTAATTTTCCTTTTCTTTGATTCTATCATATTTAAATTTTTTTTTTCAACGTTTATTTATTTTTGGGACAGAGAGAGACAGAGCATGAACGGGGGAGGGGCAGAGAGAGAGGGAGACTCAGAATCGGAAACAAGCTCCAGGCTCTGAGCCATCAGCCCAGAGCCGGACACGGGGCTCGAACTCACGGACCGCGAGGTCGTGACTTGGCTGAAGTCGGACGCTTAACCAACTGCGCCACCCAGGCGCCCCTATTCTATCATATTTAAAGCAATTTGATTCTCCATTACGTTTGAGATTTCTGTTCATTTTTCTGTAGCCTGAGGATGGTGAATAACTCAACTAAATTTGTGTCAATCTTTCTCGGAATGTTTTCTTTCTGTTCTTTCTGTGTCGATTTGTCAAATTCCCTGCACAAGGCACTTTTTTCCCATGTAACAGAGAACAGTTTGAATCCCTTTCTTCTAGCTTCAAATTGTTTTCAGTTTATATGAAGTTCTGATATTTTTGCTTTTTCGTTGAGAGTCCATGCCAAATTTTCACTTGCTCTGCTGTTGCTTTCCAGCAATTGTTGCTTCTACCTTGTTAACAAGAGCAAGAAAAGACATAAGAAAATGATCCCAGATGTCAGCAACAGCTTTGGGGATAGTAGGGAATACTTGGAATCTTTTCAGCTCTGCATGAGATCCCATTTTAATGTCATGCATGTTAGCAGCCTTTTGTAATAGCCATTCAGGATTTCTTCCTTTTATCCTCTTACCATAGCTTTTTTTTTTTTTAATCTACATCAACTTTATTGATTTTTTGTTGGCTATTTTCTCCTTTACTTTTGTGTATCTTTGTTCATGTAACTTCACCTGGAAACGCATGCATCACTTTCAATATTAAGAAAAGAATAAAACAAAAAACAACTAACCACAATATCTCTGTTAAGTACTAAATAAGAATAAATTGACTATTTTTAGTGAAAATGCAAAAAAGGAAGAATTGTAGTTCTTGTTATTGAGTTTACCTACCTATCCTAAGGATAGAATTTTCACAGAAGAACTAAAAGTAGATGCATTATTTTAAAAGTATTGGGCATCCCATATAGTAGACTCTGTATTTAAATTTCAGTCGTAATTCATAGGAGCTCTGGAACCTAAATACAATACACATTAATTAAAAGTTTTCGGGGTGCCTGGGTGGCTCAGTTGGTTAAGCATTTGGCTTTGGGGCAAGTCATGATCTCACCATTCGTGGGTTTGCTCCCCACATTAGGCTCTGTGCTGACAGCTCAGAGCCTGGAGCCTGCTTCAGATTCTGTGCCTCCCTCTTTCTCTCTGCACCTCCCCCACTCATGCTCTGTCTCTCTCTTGCTCTCAAAAATAAATAAACATTAAAAAATTAAAAAAATAAATTAAATAAAATAAGATTTTCCAATTTCTGTTATTATTAATATATGCATACATGATGCATATATAAATAATTAATTTGACATATAAATTTTCATTCCAGAGCATAACTGTACAATTTATCCCATTAAACTTTGGTGATTGATTACTATAATTAGATCGGAGTTCAACAGAAGCTACTTGAACAAATTGTAGAAGAAAAGAAAATCATAAATCAGAATTAACTTGAAAGAAAATTAAAATAAAATAAAACCTTTTAATTCAAATTTTTTAATTGATTGAGTCATCTCATTTGGCATCATTGGATTCTTTCTCATTAATTAGGAAAGCTCAAACATCCAATAAAAAGGGCCAATGAAACTTCAAACAGTTAATAACAGGACTTATTCAAATAGCAACTTGCAAGAGTTATTTTTAGATCAAAACACATTGACCAATGTCCCATGCTCATTTTCATAACAAAATGAAAAATAGAAGTCGATAATGATAACTCAGTATCTTCTAAGTACTCCTAGATAGATTAAATAATGTTTGTTTGTACATGCAACATATTTACATTTTAATTGTTTAAAATTGAAATTATAAGTGTGCTACAGATATTCTTTCAGTTAGAATATTCAATAATATAATATGTAATTGGTCAAGTATTGCAGATAAACTGAACTGGGAGCATTTGGAAGATTATTATTTTTTTGTAGTTTCAAGTTTTTATTTAAATTCCAGGTAGTTAACATATAGTGTAATATTAGTTTCAAGTGTAGAATTTAGTGATTCATTACTTACATACAACACCCAGTGGGAGCATTTGGAATTTGAGCACCATGACCTATTGACTTTATAGCTTTGGTAAGAAGCTGATTCTCTGGCAAATGTAGTAGATATTTAATAAATGTTTCACAATGAATACTAGTTAATGACTTATTTCTAAGTAACAGAGGAATAAAAGTGAGAAATTTAGTAATAATAGATGTCAGAGCTATGCATTGAGCATTTATTATGTTCTGAATTCTTGGCTAAAGGCTATAAATATAAATATCCTTATTTATTCTATCATTTATGATTTACATTCTTTCATCAACCCTGAAAGAGGTTTTTTTTTATTTATTTTTTATTTTTAAAAACTTTTTTTTAAGTTTATTTATTTTTGAGACAGAGAGAGACAGAGCATGAACAGGGGAGGGTCAGAGAGAGAGGGAGACACAGAATCGGAAACAGGCTCCAGGCTCTGAGCCATCAGCCCAGAGCCCGACGCGGGGCTCGAACTCAGGGACCGCGAGATCGTGACCTGAGCCGAAGTCGGACGCTCAACCGACTGAGCCACCCAGGCGCCCCGAAAAAGGCTTTTAAATATATTCATATTTCTAATGAGGAAACTGAGACTCCAGGAGGTTAAGGAGCTCACACATAATCACATGTTTGTATATATCAGAATCAGGACTCTAACTCAGATCTATTTGGCTCAAAAATGTATATTCTTTTTGTGTGCCATGTTGGATTGATTTTCAATTGCTATTTTCTGTTTTCTGGAATAATTAGTTGAACTCATTTATTCTTAGTGTTATACTTATTAGTCAATGTTGTTATTTTAATTTTTTTAAAGTTTTTATTTGTTTATTTTGAGAGAGTGAAAGAGAGTGTGAGTTAGGGAGGGCCAGAGATAGAGGAGAGAGAGAATCCCAGGCAGGTTCCATGCTGTCAGTGCAGAGCCCTACATGGGGCTCGGTCCTATGAATCATGAGATTATGACCTGAACCAAAATCAAGTATTGATGCCTAACTCACTGAGCCACCCAGGTGCCCCTGTTATTTTTAATTTTTAAGATGTATATTATCTGAAAATTATGATAACATGTAATCAAATTTCTGGTAGAGTTAAAATATAAACCCATGCACATACCTGTATATATATATATAGAGAGAGAGAGAGAGAGAGAGTCCATATATATATATATGGACATATATATATATACTGTCTTATGTATATACATACTGTTGGGTACTTTGAGTATATCTTCAATTTCGTTCCAGACACTCAGTTACATGATTATCACTCTAGTTAGATTGGAATTTAGATACAAAGTGAAATTCAACTCTGTGGTTCAATCTCAAAGACATAATAGTACTACAACATACCATATTAAAAATGCTGCTCTCTGAATTTTAGGCAATTCATCTTGCATGAATTTGCTTATTGAACAAATGCCTAGATAAATAAAACAAAAAACAAAAAACTGAAAGTTTTCACAGTAACAAAAATCTTCATGCTGGCCTTTAAACTCAAATTCTTGATAGATTTTTCAATACCTTAACAGGAAAGAGGTCCATACGTTGATTTATACATATACATTTTAACATATTATATATGTATTTGTGTGTGTGTGTGCGTGTGTGTGTGTACACACATATACACACATATTTCATTTGTTTTTAAAGTCTGTTTTTTTATTTTCTATTAAAAGGTAAGGTCTATTGAATAGTCATGAACATAATAACTTGTATGGAGATCCATCCTACCTCATTTCATCTTCAGGAAAGCATGTCTGAAAACAAATTAAACCTGAGAGCTACATGCTTGTATCATACCCAGAAACAGAACATTATTTTTATGTGAAATATATATTTAATTCCAAAATATGTATTTTGAAAAATAATACAATAAAGTATCAAAAGTTGATATTTCATTTATCATATATTTATTGAACACATAAAATACAACATTCACATAGTGCTAAGTGCTGTATATTTACTAATAACAAACTGTCTTGCATGCCTATATTCTAGTGGGAAATGATAGTCTTTTTGCAAGCTGGATTAAAGAAAATTTATGAGCAGTAGAATTGATAATATTTGTTCAAACCAGAAAGGAGACTCATTTACAAACATTCTTTGTATCTTCTTGGTCATGATGAAATTGACCTGTAGTTTAAAAAAAACATATCCACCATTCTAAATATTTGCTATTTCCATATAATGCCAGTGGAAAACCCTTCAACTGTAACTGTTACTGAAATAAGTCATTCACCTTTTGTACAATAGGAAGAGTAGAGGATGGCCATAAAAACAAGTGTCTTCCCATGTTAACAAATTGGAAAGACTGATGACATATTTTTGTACAGGAAAATACAATACCTATAAAGCAATTGTATGTATATATAAAACTAATAACAAAATCACATTTACAGTTTTAATGAAAGATCAGTGAAGAATGGGGTAAGTTTTGGGTAAATACGTAGGCCAGAGCTCCCTGCCTCTTTCTCATAAGGTTTTAGTGGCATGTTTGTGCTGAGATATAATATTTCTATATCCACAACACTGTTAAGTACTGCCTGAAATCCTTCCGTTTTCATCAGGATTGATTTTCCTGATATTCACTTCCCTTTGGTTTGCCATCCATCTGTAGATACATTCAAATTAGTGCAGAGTTACCTTCTTCCTTTTACTTAAAAACAATTACATTGTTTCTTATCTGTAGCTATTCTAGGAATATTCATGAAAGTTTGAGACAATAAAACACCCATAATGTTAGAAAACTTTTCTAAGAATGGAATGTAAAAGATGTTTATCTGTTTTAATGTTATGAGTACTTCTGAATAATCAAATTGAATACTAATAATAGATATAATTTACAGCTTTATTTTTTTTCTGTAGGTAATGATGTAATATTAGATTATAATTTTTGAGGCATTTTGAAACAAAGGTATAAATACATTTTAAATATAAATTGATGGATCATTAAAAATTTCTAGTGATCTATATTTCAAATGATAAAATAATACATGATAAAATTGTAATATGTAATGAATTGTATTCCACTGACAGCCTTGTGTTAATGTCCTTTCTGAATACTACTTGCCTGGTGGTGTCAAAGTCCAGGCCAGTGGTTACTTTTTGAACAACTTCATATAAATGTAGACTTGACATTTCTTACTCTTGTCATGCAGTTCTGTTTTGTTAAGATATTTTATCATATTATGGTGAAAGTCATATTTTAATTGTTGGAGTACAGGGCTGATAATATATCATGTAGCCTAAAATAGAGAGACTAATCAAACTGCTTTCTGAACGAAGAGCAGTGATCAGATCTGATAACACCTTGTTGTTGTTGTTTTTTAATGTCCTTAATTAATTAAAATTTTTGACAAAAACCTTTGAAGTCCAAGGAAAATTGGGGCTCCTGGGTGACTCCGTCAGTTAAGCATCTGACTTCGGCTCAGGTCATGATCTCAACAGTTCATGGGTTTGAGCCCCACATCAGGCTCAGTGCTGACAGCTTGGAGCCTGGAGCCTGCTTCAGATTCTATGTCTCCCTCTCTCTCTTCCCCTCGCTCACTCATGCTCTATCTCTCAAAAATAAATAAACATTAAAAAAAAATTGAAGTCCAAGGAAAATGAATGCATATAAAACAAATTTTGTTAGTACCCTATTGCATAATGAGCACATTCTTTTCACAGACGAATTTGTTAGAAATTATTAAATAATAGAATATCAGAGTTAAAAAATCATATTTTTGTTTCTTCTTTATCTGAATTTCCATCTAAGATAATGACAGAAGTAGGAATCAAGTTCACGCACCTTGACACTAATTGTATATTTGCTGTGTTATCACACATTATAAAAATTATCATAAAATAATCACAAAAATAGTTTAATTCCTTGATGATTGTATATAATTTCTTAGAAAAATATATTTTGAATAAAATAAATAATATTGATTTAAAATTTTCTTTGTGTTGTGCAGGTGAAATGATCAAAGCAAAGGAAATACCTTTTTCCCATTTCCTATAAACTTCCTTTTTAGAATAAGTAAATGATCTGCTTCGACACTGTCTTAAGAGGTGGGCTGAATCTCACAGAAAATAGAATAAAGAAGGCAACATAATCAACTGGACAGAAAAGTGTGCATAGCATTCCAAAACTGTTCACTTTTTTTTAAACTGAAAGACTGTAAAGGCTTCCACAAAAGCACCAAAATGTTTGTTCCTCATATTCCACTCCACATCAAACCCCGATTTCATTCATCATTCTCTTTGTCCACTATTCCTCAGCCAGCTGCTGTTTCACTCAGAAGCAGATTTCTAGGTCTGTAACTTTCAGATATCCAGCCAGCTCTGTAATGTAATATTTTCATCAGCACAAGGATGTCAGCTCTTGACTTTGTTTGTTCTTTCCCCTTTTATCATCAGTAGAGCTCAGATGCTGACTTTACTAGCATAAATGCATATACCATGTGTTTAGTACTGATAATGACTATCAATGTTTAATTGTATTTTAAATTCATATGGAAATAAATAATTAATGAATTCTGATCAACATGCTGTGTGGAATCTGTAACAACTTGGTGCTGACAATGTTGTTGAATTTCATGACAAAGTTACCAGATTGAAAATCAGTCATGCATGCCCAGAAAATCTATACAGCCCTTCCCACAGCGCAAAAGAGGTTAGTCATTTTTTCCCCCTGATTTAACAATTATTTTTTATGTTTCAATAGTTTTTTTCAGTTTTATTGAAAAATAATTGACATATATCATGTTGTACATTTAAAGCATACAGTATGATGGTTTCATCTACATGTATTGTGAAATGATTACCACAGTAGGGTCAGCTAACATCTATTTTCTCACATAGACATAATAAAAAGAAGAGAAAAAGGGAAGAAAAAAGGAAAAAATCTCCTTGTGATGAGAATTTTTAGAATTTACTCTCCTACAGCATTTATAGAATTTATATCCTACAGCAGTGATAGCAATTTTCATCGTGTTGCTCATTATATCTCTAGTACTTACAACTGGAAGTTTGTACTTTTTGACCAACCTACTCCAATTTGCCTTCCCCACCCTCCACCTTTGACAACCACAAGTCTGATCTTCTATGAGTTTCAGGATGGTTGTTGTCAGATTCCACATATAAATGAGATCATATGTTATTTTTCTTTCTCGGACTTTTTCACTTAACATAATGTCCTCAATTCCTTAGTGTAATGTCCATCCATGTTGCCATATATGGTAAGATTTTCTCATTTTTTTATGGCTGAGTAATAGTCCATTGTATATATACAACTTTATTCATTCAGTCATTGGTGAGCACTTAGGTTGTTTCCCTGTCTTCACTTTTGTAAATAATGCTGCTATAAACATGGGGGTGCATAAATTTTTTTTTTTTATTTCAAGCTTTTATTCAAATTCTAGTTAGTTGACATATATAGTAAAATTGGTTTCAGGTATAGAATTTTGTGATTCATCACTTACATATAACTTACCTATAACAAACACCAGTGCCCTTCACAACTGCCCTCCTTAATATGCGTCACCCATGTAGCCCATCCCCCACCCACCTCCTCTCCAGCAACCCTGTTTGTTCTCTATAGTTAAGAGTCTTTTATGGCTGACTTCACTTTCTCTTTTCTTGTTTTTCTTCTTCCCCTATGTTCATCTGTTTTGTTTCTTAAATTCCATATATATATGAGTGAAACTATATATTTGTCTTTTTCTGACTGACTTATTTTGCTTAGCATAAGGCACTCATGGATTAGAAGAACAAATATGGTTAAAATGCCTATACTACTCAAAGCAGTTGACACATTTAAATGCAATCCTTATCAAAATAACACCAGGAATTTTCACAGAGCTAGAATAATCAATCCTAAAATTTGTATGGAAGCACAAAAGAACTGTAAATAGCCAAAGCAATCTTGAAAAAGAAAAGCAAACCTGGAGGCATCATGATTCCAGACTTTGAGCTATATTACAAAGCTATAGTCATCAAGACAGTATGGTACTGGCATATCTTTTTGAGTTAGATTTTTTTTTTCATTTGGATGTATTCCCATAAGTGGAATTGATGTCTCATATGGTAGTTCTCTTTTGATTTTGAAGGATCCTCCATAGTATTTCCCATAGTGACTGCATCAGCTTACATTCCTACCAAAAGTGCACAAGCGTTCCCATTTCTCCACATCCATGTCAGCATGTTATCTCTTGTCTTTTTGATGACTGATATTTTAACAGGAATGAGGTGATACCTCCTTTGGTTTTAATTTTCGTTTCCATAAT